GATGATTCTGGGTATCGAGTTATTAGAGCAGATATGCATCCGAATTTTGAAAATACAAAGCAAAATTAATATTTTAGATTATAGTACGTCCGTTAGCTAATAAGGAAACCATAAAATTTAAAGTTTGAAACGTATGACAAGTTACGATTATTAATGTGCCAAAGTGATAGACATATGTTTTTGGCCTTATTATTTATTAAGAAAGTAGAAAATTATTCATCGTACGTAGTTGAGATACTAAAATCAAATCTAAATCCTTAGCGTATTACCCACATTACTCAGCGTAGTAGGAAGCGGCGAGGCGACCGCTAAACGCCATCCGTGCATTTCAACTCAACTTTAAACTGGAATGTCGATCAAATTTAACATGTAAGATTTGATTACAGGCAATGCGATAAGTAAAAGTAATAAAAACTGAAAGACGAAATGTGTACCTGCAATGCAACAGTTTTATCGAAACTGATTGAGAGTGAGTACATCACTAATCTATACTTACCTATCAATTTTTGCCTTGTTTACTTTCAAATTTGCCGGCTGTCTCTTACGTTTTCGAACACTTCCTTGTGCTGCTTCAGTTACTGGCACTTCCATGGCACTAAATATTATCCTTTTTAATTGAAAATTGACCAAAAAGGTTTAAAATTTTAATTAAAACTGCAGACACGGACGCACGCGTTCGATGTTTGCGTACGTAGGTTAGACGCTATTTAACAGTAAATCTAGTATTTTTTAAATTACTATGGAGGGAATGGTATAAGTATATCATAAAGTAATTAGTAGATTTACTGTTAAATAGGCGAAATAAGGTCTAAATGCATTTGCTTCTGAAAAAAAACTTTTTGGCAACAACGCGTGAGTACAAAAGTAGTAACCCTAAGATACGTACGAAAAAATGGAATGATAAATTTTGGCCCATGTCTAGCGCAGTACGGTATCTCTTAACAATTATACAAATTCGTGTCAGTTTGATTGTCAGGTGTCAGAAGCATTGTCAAACAACCAGGAGACAAAGAAGGTACCATCATCCCCAGAATAATTAAAAAATAACTTTAGGAATTCCTGAAAGCTTGGCATTTGCTTCGTGCCTGAAAGTCTGATTTTTAGGCTTGGTGAATATAATCTGTTTTCTATGGTATGCTTTCAATAAATGTAGGGATGCACCTAGTCGTTTCTTTTCAGAATTAAGTATATATTACCTTTAATGGAAGTATGAATATTTATTTAATCGCTGACATCATTCGCCATCTATACGTTGTCGTAGAAACTAAATGATAGTCTGGCTACTTTTCATAGTTTTCAAATCATCATGTCTGTCCACATTTTACAAGTTGACCCACAGATGGCGCCATAGTTAACAATTCAATCAACGACTTGCAAAATGTCTAATTAGGTAATGTCTTTTCGATGTTATCCGTGTTTCCACACACATGATCGTGAGTGACATTCGAGAAGAATTAATCTTGAGCAACTATATAGCTACCTAGTAGCTGGTGTTTTTAAGGACGACGAGAAAAATTAGGAATATTTAAAATACGGGTGGGTGGGTTCTCTTCGTTATAAATACTTACTTATCTACTTTTTGTGGGCCACTAACTTTTTCACTGAGTGTTTTTATTTAACAGAGGAGTACTGACTCCTGTAGCAGTTGACGTAATAAAATATTATATATATTTCCCTATCTGAAATATACTTTTATTAAGCACCCGACTTCCAAATCAGTTTTTTTTAATTCATAAAATACTTTCAGATTCGTTTCTCAATATAATCGTTAATAAACAGTTGCTTTCAGTAGTCTGCTACATAAAGGAATGACATCCATGTCGAGCAGAAATTTGTTGTTAAATACCTCTATTTTTTTTTGAGCGACGCTGATAAAAAGCTGTTTACAACGAATTTCCGGAATAACGTACTCTTCGATTTAAGGGGTTCCTTGACCCACTTAGACCTCGATCACAATAATGTTTTAGTATCTAGTGCTGGGTTAGTCATACTTACGATTTTTAACTGAAGGTTATTAAAGAGTTGAAAGAGTACTCTTAAGTACCTCTGCAACTTTGTTTATGGCATAGGGGGGTAAACGAGCAGATGGGTTACCTAAGGCCCAAGTGTGAGATTATTTCACTTCTACTCGATCGTTTGGCGTTGCGATTGGTGGAGATTTCAGTGCGGACCAATCGCATCGTCGAACGCGGTCACCGTGACGGTTGAGTAGAAGTGAAATAAACTCGCACTTGGCCCTCTGATGAGTATGTGACTACCGTCGCCCATGGACACCTGCAGCTCAAGTTACAAATGAGTTGCCGCCTTTTCAGTTCCTCCATCCAGAATCCAGGAGAGCCTACCGCTCTAGGTTTCGATCGTTCGTTCTCGGTTTAGGTTCCGGTAACTACACTCACTCGATGAAAAGCTATTGTTGCCGGCTTAAATCAGTGTTTTCTTTAAAAAATAAATAAGATACCTATGTTATTTTAAATAACTTCTACGAATAATAATTTCTCTAGAAGCGTAACTAAGCTTAAAAAATGGTTTCACGAAATATAAGCCGCGGCGGGCTGAGTGTAAAATATGCGCAAGCGCAGCGCATCAGCACGCCACTCGTGTTGAGCGCTTGTATTACGGGAAGTTTCGAGTGTGCTTTTTCTTGTGTTTTTGCACTATTTTATTTCGCAAATATGCCGTCATGTGTCATAACAATTATAGGAGAGTTACTGTACTAGAGAAATTATTTTTCGGAGTATAACTTATATTCTTTTATAACACTCGTCAAATATTTTTTCTTTGTTTTGTTTTTTCTTTACTCGTCTCTCCCATGAGATTTAAGTACTCGTTGTTATTAAAGAGTGTTTATTAGATTCTAATGCCCATTTCTATCGCATATCGGAAGATCGGAACATTTTGTTTAACCGTTACACTCATTTTCACACTCATTTAAAATCATCATCATCATCACCTCAGCCTACGCTTGTCCACTGCTGGACATAGGTCTCTCCCAATGATTTCCAGCGAAGACATATAATACTGACTAAAAATAGGTGCGCATGCAAATTTTTACCAAACACATATTTTAGTTAGGTTAAAGGCATGTATTTATATATATATTATTTTACTATCGAAAAATTTGACTATCTTAAAAATCAATTTCATTTTAAAAGCAATTTTTCAAAGATAATCCAGCACTTATAGCTTTAGGTACTCATTGTGACCGTTGCTTCCTGGAGAAAAAGTGAGGACTGTTCTTTTTGAGATCTTAACCAACTTCGATGAAAGAGAACGTAGTAAATACTTTATTTAAATATGACTAGTATGTGGTAAAATTATATCACTGTCTCACGCACTGGATATTAATAACAAACATAACAACTATAACCTATAGGTAATTGTGAAATTAGGTTCTCTTTTATGAAGTCGGTTTAAAAGAATAAAATAAATCTTTTGTTCGTTTTGCATACTTACCACAAATATCTGATCAAATTTAGCTTACCTAAAATGGGTTATAAAAAATATACACTTTGAAATGTGTAAAATTATTTATGTTGCATTATAATAATTAAAAATTGTCACAACAAGGAATTGCCACGAGCCTACCTTACACAATTGCCACTTACGAAATACTTACACTACATACACTTAACTTAGTCGACTTAACGTTACATCACAAGTAAAACGAGATATCTTTTAAATATAAGTAACAATAGCCGAGGATATTATTGACACAGCTCCGTTCTCACCACACGGGGCAACTCGACAAGCAAATCTACTAATTTCCGCTCTTTACATCGCCACTGATGCTTACAAATCTCTCAAGCTATCATAATTTAATGACGTTACAACTAGAAGGATTCATAAGCAGACATAAGTGTAATATTATGCATAAAAATGTATGTAAAGTAATTCAAAAGTTCAGTACGATTTAATACAGTCATCAAAAACTTTACAATAAATACATTTAGCTCATACGTTGTCTATTCCAAACAAATTTATTTGAACATCAAACAATACATTTATATGTTGACATATTGCAATCGTAAACCAATTTACCATTGACTCAGTTCATTCTCCAACCATCCATACCTCCAACTGGATTAACCAAATGTCGTTTAGTTCAAATAACCAATAAATGCTCGAAAATGAAGTTTTATGCAAGTTTCTTGGGAAATATCGTCGTATCGTAAACATGCAAACGAACAACTAGTTCCTTCCTGTGCTGTTTGATATCATCTTCAATATTTTAGCCATAAGACGTCCCTAATGATTTCCAAGGCGTTCGGTTGTAGGCGACCTGCATCATTCGAGGACCTACAATATTTACAAAGTTATCTGTCTACCGGTTGGTAGACGCTGAATAAATGCTCTTTTCGGTTTGATTTTGAACAACTATGCTTTCGCATGGGCCGTCTGTTCTGCCGTGCTGTGATATGGTCATATTACGAGTATAAAGTAGGGGCTGGACGCGGTTCAAGTCCGCTTCTTGTCGAAGTTATATGCCTATGTTTAGTAGTAGAGAGAAATGAAATGCTTTTGTTAAAAGACTGAAATCATCGACTCAGCATCTGGCTTCATCTTCATTTACATTGAATATTTATTATTTCCTTACTGTGTTTTAATTTTCTCACATTTTCAAGTATGAATATCGTCGAGTATATCCGTTTAAATTGTATTGTTAACATGGTAAGGGTTTCAAATATAACTCTATTAGTTGGTAATTATGGTAACGTTATTTATATACCAATCGTCTCACAGTAATTTGGCATATTTTCATACCTAAATATAACCAATAAATTTATTTGGATCAGAGTATTTAAAATTAGGATAATTTCTCGGCAATAGTGTTATGTCTATCTCTGTTTTCTATGTAGAAAAAAGAGACAGCATGAGACCTTTCTCAAGAAACTATCCTCGAGAAAATATCTAAGACTGAGCCATTTCGACAGTTGGCGCGCGGAGTAGGATTTAGTCAGAACGGAGCGAAGCGCTATCTGTACTCGGCGCACAGCTCGAATCTATCTTTTATTTTTGTTCTTCATAGTGAGACGTCGCCAGAAGCTGGACTTCTCAGCGGGCGGCTGCTCTTCTCTGGCCTCCTCACCCCGCGTCTCACCCCGCAGCATATCCAGGAATGTCGGATCGTTTTTGCGGACATTTTTCTCAATTTTCACTGCTTCTGCGCTTAACTCTGACTTCAGTTTCTCAGGGCTCGTATTCTCGACCTTAAACTCGTTAGGGTCTTCAACGAACGCCTGCTGAAGATCACGCATAATCTTTTTCCTTATAGTCTTCTTCATACTGAGGTGCCTCTCTAAAGTTTTCACGTCCCCGTTGCCATAGGTACGATACTCGTCCTTTTTCTTTTTGGATTTCTTGGTCTTATCATCGTTGTCTTCGAAACTTTTGGCGTCGTACTGCTGGTTGAGACCAAAGATGTCCCGCAAATGGGGGATTGTTCGTTCCGACGTCATTGTGAACGCTGGAAGCACCCGCCTGAAGTTGAGATCACAGACACCTCATCATGAGATCTGGAAAACAGAGAAAAAACTATTAATCATTACACATAATCATTTCATTTAATTGCCTATAAAACACGCCGCATAATAATTCTAGATTTCAAATCAAATTTACAAGTCCATATCAGTCCAATCTTCGTTCCTAATATTTCTACGTGGAAAAACAGGTGATACACCTAAAACATTATAACATATTTAGAAAAAAAGACACTGATTTTTATAGCGTAAATTAAGTTACGAATGAATTATGGAAATAGGTTACCCATGACAGTTATTTTGCCAACCATCTTCATCTACATGCACATTGCTATGGTGTATTCTAAGCGTTTGTAGCAGATACGCGTCTCGTATTCGATAATATTGAGCTTATCCCGGATGATTTGAAAACTATTTGCCTCCAACCATTTTGCATCTGATAGGATACTTATTTAACAAAATTAAAAGTGAGCGTCGATAGAATTGTAGTTATGTATATAAAATTTTGGGATTTTTAAAAGTGAACCTTTCAGATCTCATGATCATAACTTTCGTGGAACTTTGGAGCGGAAATCTGAAGGGCTTAATGGCATTCTCATTGAGTTTATAAGATTATTGATAGGCTAGAAGTAATCGGGCTTATTTAAAAATTCAGGTTCTGCTTGGAGAAAAGACCAACAGTGAAAATAAATCTGTTCTCTAAATAATCACTGGCAACGCCAACACAATTGTGGTGGCACAAATAAGTGGTAAGTAGGTACGTCAGTAACATGCTTTGGTCTATTGACTTCAAGTTGTAGCATATTGATCCAACTATCCGGTAAAAGAGGAATCGTTTAAAGAAGCTTTATAAAGTTAATAATAATTTTGTAATATTTATTTGTCAAGCACGCTTTTTTAAATACAATATTTTTTTTAGTTCAAAAAAGTACGGCGTGTTTTTATTTCTTTTTAAATATAATTGATTTTCTTATTCTTTAAGTTAATTGAACGGCTTGAACTTTTGAGCAGACAGTAAAAGTTATAATATCAATATTCCATTACTTTAATAGATAGCTGTATAGATACCTACAGGTTAAGCTAATACTAATTGAAAAATAAATAGCAGCTATTTACAATTATGATACTTGGCGGTTTTTTTTTAAATTCCTGCAGAAATCATATTAACACATTTAGCATCTGATGCATTAAGTGTATGAATTTACGATTCATATATCTAAAACTTACATTTTATTTTAGTTCACAAACCAGTTTTAATAACTAGCTAAGAAGTGGTTTCAACATGGGTTTATTTGAATTTAAGATTTCATCTTTAAATTTATTGTAATGTTAACGTTTATACTTCAAACCACGGGATTTCTTAATAATCTATAAGGACTCATGGTAGCACACAAGTCGCTAAAACCCTTAATAAAGGACTCCTATTGCGTCCGCAACAAGTAGGATAGTAAAACCACCTTTAATAAGGTCAAACGAGGTATGAAATGAAGTAATTTTGGCTGTTTACAAGTCAAGAGCAGGTGTCAAGAGCCAGACCCTAATATTTTTCTCTTAATCAATTGTACAAATCATTAACCTTGACCTATCTATTTAAGCAGCCTATCACGTGGATTGAAGGAATTTAAATAAGGTAGCTACTTAAATTTAAATACTTACATAACTTTATTTTTAAATCTGCCCCGTTAGTCACGTGGCAAATGTTTGTTTTTATTTCCGTACGACCGTACCTTCTTGAGTGAGTTGAAGTGTCGGGCAAATCGTTATTCCTGGTATGTTTAGAATTCTCAATTAAGCACATACGACAAAACCAGCCCAACGGCCTAAGTTGACGGGATACGAGTGTGTAAAGAAATAAATAAACAGGCAATGCGCTTCTCCGCTCTGATCCGCTTGGAACATGGAATTTTGCAGTAAATTATATGTACATTAGATGAATCATTCGTCACCAAAGTAACACTGCAATCATCTGTAAGCCCATACTAACCAAGCGATTAATTTCTTTGTATATTGAGTGAAAGTTATACTTTTTATGGATAACTATGATTTTTTATGGTATATTGGTACACTATAATCAATACATATATATATAACATACATATATAACAGAGCGTGGTCGGGCAATTACACGCAACGTTATCATTTAATATGTTTTTTACAATTGTCTAATTGCAAATGATAATTACTATCGTTTTAAAAAGAAAATCATGCCATCATTTACCGATATGATGGCATGATTTTCTTTAGGCACCGGCCTATCAAGTTTTTGTCATACTGATTTACTTTTGCTTGCAAAGTTCATTGTATTTCTGAAGTATGGCTTTTCGTTATTTATAATCGAAGGGATTCACCTGACCAAATCCCTTTCCATTTGTGGTCGTGGCCTATCCGGTACTAGTACTAAAAAATGGGGCAAATTTTCGACTATTCAAAGAGTCCTCATCCAAAAAGGCCAAGGTATCGCGAGGTTCTCTAATATGTACATCAATTCGTAAGTAATTTATTGTCTCAATGGGATTTGTGAAAGTGAATTTATAAAGCATTAATTTATACAGCCGGCAGACCTAATAATATTAAATAAATCTGGAATACAATAACTTGATATAGAACAATGGCCACGATAAAGAACAGAATCTTCGTACCGTGACCGATGCACTGGCAGGTTCACCTAACTACTTCCCCTCGCAGTGCGGGCGAAATGGTTTAATTATTGCTTTAAGATTTTACAAGATGTCAAAATATAATGTGACTATGGGAGCGATATGAACAGTTAAAAAGCTTTTCCTAGCTCAATTTAGGGCGTTTTATAATAGCTTTCAGTACACTTTGCGCTTCGTTTGAATTACACAAACACAATTATGATTTTTCTGTCTATCTGTCTTCACAATTACATTCAGCAATTGTCTTTATTTATAATGCCATGATTTCCTTACGTGAAACAGTCGCTAATATTCTAGAAGTATACAAACAAGTTTCTTAGCGAGATCATTAAATAACGTGGAAGCGTTTTTGACTTCGCGTGTACTGATCCAACTACAGCATCCGCAGACTTCATTGTGCTAGAATATAGTGCAGTGCGCTTGACTGCGTCACCGAGTGCCGTTCTCCTACAGGGCTGGCAACACAAAAAAACGATTGTCTTAAAATAACTTCGAAGCTTGGCACGGCATTCCTATTTCGTCGGTTACTTATTTACATGCAAATCATGAACATTACCCGTATCTAGATTAAGATCAAAGACAACTTCTTGTTTTTTTTGTTAAGGCCCAATTTGCATTTGTGCCCCAGCCGGTATTCAAGTCAAGATATTAAAAAACATACTATTAAAAAATCAGATCAGAATGATTGACGAGACTGTTGGTCTAGTCGTTAGTGATCCTGACTGCTAAACCGGAGGTCGTGGGTTCGATTCCCACCCAGGACAAATATTTGTGTGATGAGCACGATTGTTTTTTCTGTGTCTGGGTGTAATTTATTTATAATATGTATGTATTTAGAAATATATGTATAAGTATGTTTATTAGCAGTCTGGTTTTCATTGCACAGGCTCCACCTAGTTTAGGATCAGACTGCCGTGTGTGAGATGTGTGAGGTTTATTATTATTATTTTTGCAAAATTAGTATAATGAACCAAATATGATAAATTTTGTGTTTTAAAATACCGATAATTTATAAAGGAAAGAAAGACAAAGTTGTCTGTTTTTACAAGTTTCTAAGTTGTACTTTGCCTTTCTGATATTAGTAGTTTTATTTAAAATTACTATTCAAGTCAGACGATGTCACCTACAACGTCTGACTTGAGTTTTATTAACGGTAATACATTTTCATAACTTATTAATAAATCTATAAAATCATCGGTTGAAATTATAAAATATTTCTCAATTAGGGACAAAATTATTGTACCAATGTGACATTAATTCGTTTTTGTGACAATTTTGAAATATTACAAGACAAGTTACAGTCATAACATTTGTACCTAAACCAACATAAAAGCGATTCAATTCGAATTAGAAGCCGATTTCGCGACAGTTAGTATTTCTAAATATAAAAATATGTAAATACAGTTTAGTACAGTTAGTTTTTTCCCATGCTGCTGATTAACTAAATCTAAAATAACTTATTTTTTGTTTAGGAGCTATTGACGTTTTTGTTATGTCAACAAAAATTTAATACAGATTTTTCTTTTTGAGTTGCATAAGTTGAACGAATTAACTACGAACCATGGACCTCTACGCGGATCTGCAGGCGTAATCATTTTTTAATAGACATTTAAATAGTCTCTGAAGTTGTAAAATCATTGGTTAGGTTTAAAATGTGGTCGACGAATTTGACTATTGAATTACTGCAAATTAAAACAAAGGTTCTCTAGCTTTTTATATAAAATGTTAATAAAACTGACCCCAATCTTTTGTTGTGGTCAATTTTTTTGCATTTAAGTAGTTTTTCATGAGAATAAGATCTTTAAACATTTAGTCAACACAAGCTTAAAGCTTTATTAATTTTTATTGCAGTTGTCAAGCACTAGTCTTTTTGAATTAATTTCATTAATTTTTAACAACGTTTTTAAAGTAAATAACTCTAACACTCAGTAAATTATCAGTCCAGTACAATAGTTATTTGAGATTTTAATCTAAACTATAAAGAAAAGGTAATATCCGGAATGATTACTTATTTGTAATTTTTTTACATAATTTGAACATTACATTCTTTCAAATATAAATAGTCTATGTAAATTCTTATTAAAAAAGGTTTGTTCAAACCGGTCGAAATTTCGGTACGGTGCTTAAATAGAGGAGTTAAAGAGAAAAATATCAAAATAAATTTTCTGAAGCCACTTCGGGAGCTCTAAACGAGTTGAATTTATGATTGGTTAGCCTATAAATTTCTCAGAGGCTGGGATCGTTTCACTCCCGAGGGAAATAAAGTGAATCTGTTGAGGCTCGAGACCTAAATTTATATCCTAATTTAGCTTTTATAGGTTC